TAAATCATATTTTAAGAGTACTTTCTGTACTCTAGATGTGAATCTTTTGTCAGAAATGTGATTTGCCAGTATTTCTCCCACTGTGTAGCTTTTCTTTTTTTCTTTTCCTCTCTGTATCCGGGAGCAAACTCAGGATCTTGCACTTGCAAGGGAGGTGTGGTGCTACTGAGGTAAATTCCCAGCCCAGCTTTTCTTTTTTATTATTGGTGTATGTTTATAATACATGGTAATTACATTCATCTTGGGGAATTGATACATATATGCATCACATCTTTATCATTTTTTACTTTCTCTTCTCCACTGCCCTCCCCTCTTCTCCTTTCCTAAATACCCTTTCCATCTTCACAAAGTCCGTCCCCGTTTCCTACCATCTCTCTTTTATTTTTCTCTTTAAGTTCTTTATACTTTGGGTTTTTCATATAAGAGAAACCATGGTAAAATTTTGGTGTCCAGTTTAGTTCACTTAGCATTATGATCTCAAAGTGCATCCATTTTCCTACAAATGATTCAGGTTTATCCTTTCTTATGGCTGAATAGTAGTCCATTGTATATATGTACCAGATATTTTTATCCATGCATCTGTCAAGAAGCACATAGCCACTTCCATAATTTAGCTATTTTGAATTGTGCTCCTATAAATATGAGTACACATGTAACAGTGGTAATATATCTTTTACTCTTTCAGGAAGATCCCAAGAAGATGTATGGCTGAGTCACATGAAATTTTTATTTTTAATTTTTTCAGGAATCTCCATACTGGTTTCCACAGTGGTTGTACTAATTAACATTCCTACCAACAATGTAGAAGGGTTCCTTTCCCCCTACAATCTCAGTAGCATATGTTGCTGAGTCCTTGATGACAGCCTTTCTTATTGGGATAACATGGAATCTCAGCATAGTTTTAATTTGCTCTAATGTCCCAAAATGACAAACACTTTTTCATGGACTTATTGTACTCCATTTGTAGTTCTCCTTTTGAGAAGTGTTTATTCATTTCAACCACCCCTTTTTGATAGTCTTTTATTTTGGGGTGTCTAATTTTTTTGGAGTTTTTAAAATAAAGTTTAGATATGAGTCCTCTGTCCAAGGTGTAGCCAGAAAAATTTTTTCCCATCCTGTAGGTTGTCTCCTCACTCTGTTGTTTCCTTTGCTGCGCAAAAACTTTAAAGTGTGATATAATCCCATTTGTTGATTCTTGGTATTATTTCTTGTGCAACTAGATTCTGTTCATGGCAGGCTAGAGGCAGCAGTGCTCATGAGATGTTCATCAGATGCTTTCCAGAGCCCACAGGTACTCACAGATAAGGATGGAGGGTTAAAAAAACAAATATGGGAAGGCAACTTGAAGGAGAAACTTGACAGATGGATTATAGTATCAGGGTGTGAAGAAAAAGAAGTAGGGCCACTTCCCAATCCTGATATTGTTTATAGTCCAGGCCCAGCAAACATAGCATTTTGGGAAAGGTTCTGCCCTCCAAGATAAGGCTAGTACAGCACTACTGGCAGACTGGATGCCCAGCCTAGCAGTCATCTCTCAGTACACACCTGCAGCAACTCTTTCCCCAAGGGGAGACAGCCCAGTGCTGCAGTTGAGGTAGATTTTTTATTTGACTGGCCTTGGGATCTGATATCACTAAAGAAGCGCAGGCCAGAGAATCACTCAGAGGGCAGTGGCTGAGTTAGGATCCACAAGGCTCAGGGACAGAAAGAAATAAGGAAATGGACCTCGAGAAGGGCCAAGAACCAGGCACTGAGCCCCTGTTTTAACCATGACTCTTAGAGGGCTAAAGTTTTAAATTCCTGTGTGTGTGTGTGTGTGTGTGTGTGTGTGTGTGTGTGTTATGGTATGGTACAGGGGGTAGAACCCATGAGCATGCTACTGTTGATTATATCCACACCCTTTTTTGAGACAGGGTCTCACTATATTACCTAGGTGGGACTTGAACTTGGGATCCTCCTATCTCCCAAAATGCTGAGGTTACAGGTGTATACCACCATACCTCACTTAAATTTTCATTTATGAATCACATTTGTGGTGTTAAGTCTAAAATCTCATGCTTAGTCCTTTTTTGTTTTATGTTTTGCATTTAAGTCTACTATCCATTTTGAGTTAGTTTTTTAAAAATAAGTTAGATTAAGTTTGAAAGCTAATTTATTTTTTTCATTTATTTTTGCCTAGAGATGTCTAGTTGCTCTGAACCATTAGTTTAAAAAAAACCATTAGTTTAAACCATTAGTTTAAAAACCATTAGTTTAAAAAAATCCTTCTTCCATTGAATGTCTTTGGTAACTTTATTTAAAAAATCCATTAGTAATGTTTGTGTGGTCTATTTCTAGATTCTGTATTTGTCCTTTGATCTATGTCTATTCCTCCACTCATACCACATTCCTATTACTTTTGCGATGGGAGTATCCCATGGTTTTTTTTTCCAGAAAACATATTTAGATGGTGGATTATCTGGTTTTATGTAGTAACTCCATCCTAATGTTCCAAAGTCTCTTTTGATCTAGTTCTTAGTACTTTGACAAACCAATTCTAGTATTTTCCCTTTCTTTTCTTTCCTTCTTTCCTTCTTTCTCTCTCCCTCCCTCTCTCTCTCTCTCTCTCTCTCTCTCTCTCTCTCTCTCTCTCTTTCTTTTTCTTTCTTTCTTTTTCTTTCTTTCACTAAAAATCAAACTCAGGACCTTGCACTTACCAGGCAGGTGAGGCACCACTGAGCTACATGCCCAGCCCAGTTCTAGTATTTTTTACCTCAATTACTATGGGCTACTACTGTTTGGTTGACATTCAGAACCATTCCGCTCCAGTAGAAGGAATGGTTGAGCAGTGTCCTCTTAGCATATCATTTAGCCTCTGTTCTGCTTCCTTGGTCCAGTGCCTCCAACATTTGTTTCCAAAAGTGTTTTCTCAATCTCTGCTGGTATATGAAAGCTGGATCCTCTAATTTTATGTGTGAATATTTTTTTCCCTTTGCAGGGGTTCAATATTTCTTCACTGAGATTACCAGAAACTGACTTCCTCTATGGCATTGGCTCCTGAGGCTTTCGTCACGCTGACTGCACCAAAGCTCCAAGGAAGTAGAAACTGTGATAGACATAACCTATACGATAGGTGATAGGATGGCCATGTTTCCTGATTCTCGGAAACATTTTAAGTTCATATA